AGGAGGAGGAGATGGAGGAGGAGGTGGAGGAGGAGGAGGAGATGGAGGAGGAGGAGATGGAGGAGGAGGAGGAGATGGAGGAGGAGGTGGAGGAGGAGGAGGAGATGGAGGAGGAGGAGATGGAGGAGGAGGAGGAGATGGAGGAGGAGGAGATGGAGGAGGAGGAGATGGAGGAGGAGGAGATGGAGGAGGGGGAGATGGAGGAGGAGGAGATGGAGAAGGAGGAGATGGAGGAGGAGGAGATGGAGGAGGAGGAGGAGATGGAGGAGGAGGAATGGAGGAGGGAGATGGAGGAGGAGGAGATGGAGGAGGAGGAGATGGAGGAGGAGGAGATGGAGGAGGAGGAGATGGAGGAGGGGGATGGAGGAGGAGGAGATGGAGGAGGAGGAGATGGGAGGTGATGGAGGAGGAGGAGATGGAGGAGGAGGAGATGGAGGAGATGGAGGAGGAGGAGATGGAGGAGGAGGAGATGGAGGAGGAGGAGATGGAGGAGGAGATGGAGGAGGAGGAGCTGGAGGCGGAGGAGGAGGAGATGGAGGAGGAGGAGATGGAGGAGGAGGAGATGGAGGAGGAGGAGGAGGAGGGAGATGGAGGAGGAGGAGATGGGGAGGAGGAGATGGGGGAGGAGGAGATGGAGGAGGAGGAGATGGAGGAGGAGGAGGATGGAGGAGGAGGAGATGGAGGAGGAGGAGATGGAGGAGGAGATGGAGGAGGAGGAGCTGGAGGAGGAGGAGGATGGAGGAGGAGGAGATGGAGGAGGAGATGGAGGAGGAGGAGATGGAGGAGGAGGAGATGGAGGAGGAGGAGATGGAGGAGGAGATGGAGGAGGAGGAGATGGAGGAGGAGGAGATGGAGGAGGAGGAGATGGAGGAGATGGAGGAGGAGGAGATGGAGGAGGAGAGGAGGAGGAGGAGATGGAGGAGGAGGAGATGGAGGAGGAGGAGATGGAGGAGGAGGAGATGGAGGAGGAGGAGATGGAGGAGGAGAGATGGAGGAGGAGGGAGATGGAGGAGGAGGAGATGGAGGAGGAGGAGATGGAGGAGGAGGAGATGGAGGAGGAGGAGATGGAGGAGGAGGAGGAGGGAGGAGAAGGAGGAGGAGGAGATGGAGGAGGAGGAGAGGGAGGAGGAGGAGGAGATGGAGGAGGGAGATGGAGGAGGAGGAGATGGAGGAGGAGGAGGAGATGGAGGAGGAGGAGATGGAGGAGGACATGGAGGAGGAGGAGGAGGAGGAGGAGGAGATGGAGGAGGAGGAGATGGAGGAGGACGAGATGGAGATGGAGGAGGAGATGGAGGAGGAGGAGATTGAGATGGATAACAGATACTTATTCAGTGGTGCTGGCCCCAGCGACCCCCGGCTGCTCCCCAAGGTCACAGTGACAGGGAAAGGTCAGGGTTTGGGGTCCATTCGGGACACGGAGGCGGCCAGGACGGTGCAGCTGAAGCCCCCGAGCACCGAGCACCCCGAGCTGTGGGCGGGCGGCCTGACCTGGGGGAGCCGGCAGGGCGGGGGGATTTTATGGGGTTTTGTGTCTGTGCGTCGTTTACTGTCATAATAACTTTTTCTAAAGCACGTTTTGTGCACTGCGTGCTTTCCACCGGGAAGGCCACAAAAACACGTGATTCCCTCCTTTTGAAATATTCTAGTTTTCTGCAGGCCAGCGGTGTGCACGGTGATGGCTGGTGTGTGCTCTGCCTGTGAACGCAGTGTTCACACACAGGAACCAGCTTCCAGCCTCGCAAGCAGGAAATCAATCCGGGTTTGCATCGGGTCGTCGGAAAGTCCTCGTCCGTTGCTTCCTGCAATGTTTGTTTAAAGCAGACCTCAATTCCACTGCTGTGATTCAGAAAGAAAAAACAGAGGGACAAACTTGCATTCCTGAGCCACTTTTGCAATGATTCTGAAGGCAAATCTTTAGGAAAACCATAAAGTCCATTTGCTCCTTCTGGCCCACGGAATGTGTGGTCTGATGGGGCTCACGAGAGCTCCGTGGCACTCAATAATAATAATAACCATAATATAATAATAATAAAAGAAACTTTCTCTTTCCTCTCGAGACTTACATATCCACATTTTTTTTTGTCTTTTTTGAGACGCGGTCTCGATATGCAGTGCAGGCCGACTCTGAGCTCACTTTGCAGCCCAGGCTGGTCTCGAACTCACAGAGACCGTCCTGCCTCAGCCTCCCGAGTGCTGGCACGACGGGCGTGAGCCACCACACCCGGCCAACATATCCACATTTATTTGGCATGACAGAAAGCTCAATCAGTTTCCACACAGACTCCATGCTTATTCCTGAACCGCTTTGTGGCTTTACAAAATAAGTAAACACGTGCTTTATCAAACATCTTTTCAGTAGTAAAGTGACTGTGCGTGTTTAAGATTGTCACGGGGCAGTGCAGACAAATTTAGAGAGAGCTGGGATCAGTGATCCCTCCAACAGCTCCTCCAGAATTTGTTATGGGTTGATTTTTGATGCTAACCCTTCTTGCTGAGGCGAGTTGGAAGCTCAGAGTTGTTTCAATTTGCATCTCTCAAACAACCCGTGATGGCGATCGTCTCTCCGTGTATTTATGTGCCATTTGTGTTTCTTCATCTGAGCAGGGCGTGTTCATCTCAGAGCTACACCACTAATCTGTTAGTCTACCAAAAAAGAATGCTTTGTATGTTCACTGATCATCTTTTGCTGCCTAAGTATCTGAAGACAACAATATGCAGTCTATTAACTGGTATTAATTTGCTGGTGGAATTTTTTCATCTTTGTTATTTTGTTTTTAAAACACACACACAAAAGATTCGCAGTGTACGTGTGAAACTAGATGCCAGTACACACACGTACATGTCTGATATTTTTCTCTACATGCTAATGTACACCGACATTTGTCTATGAATTAGGCACAGCAAGAAACAGCAATAACTAAAATTAAGAGAATAATTATAAAAATATAGTGTTACAAATTATGTGGGCATGATCTCTTTCTCAAAATAGCTTTTTGTACGTATTGGGGCTTTCCAGGGGAACCAAAGCATTATAAACTATAGGTACAATTACACAAATGGATTTATTAAGGGAGGCTCAGAGCTGGAAGAGTCCATATCTGCAGAGTTGGAGGATCCAGGAGACGCTCAGAACAGTAAGGATCAAGGACACAACTCCAGTCCGAGGTCAAAGGCCTGGAGGCTTCCTGAAGATTCACAACGAGAGTCTGCCCTGCAAGGCCAGAGCCCAAAGTCCAACACTGCAGGTGAGGACTGGACCTCTTCCAAGATGGCGGCACTTCCTGTTTCTTTTCCTTTAATTCCATGCAGGCCACGAGCCTATTGGTTGGTGCCACCCACTTCCGGGGTGGGTCTTCCCCACTCGGTTGGCTGGCCAACATGTCAATCATCCATGGACACGCCCAGCCCTATGTTTTTTTCAGGGATTTATTCTGCAGTACCCTGGGCCTAGTCCTTCCCGGGGAGCCGGGTCTACCCCGGCTTCCTTCCCTCTGGCCTGTGACTTTGCTATTACAGTCCTGCTCCCGGCTGGTGGCCTGGCCTGGGTTTTGTTTTGCAGCAGGGGCCTGGGAGGCAGCGGGGAGTAAGAAGGGTGTTACAGGGAGATATTGCTTGTGCACACACATTTACAAGCATCAACACCAGATGTTAGCAGCTCGCCCTCCCTCCAGGAGACGGAAAAAAACAACTCCAACTCTGTTTTTTTCCTGCGGTGCCGGGCAAGGAACCCAGAGCCTTTGCACTGAGCGAGAGCCTCAGGCCTCTTTATATTTTTTATTTTGAGACAAGGTCTCGCTGAAATGCTCACTTGCCCAGGCTGAGATGCAACTTGCCACCCTCCTGCCTCAGCCTCCCAGAGAGGTAGCTTTTAGTATATTGCTCATAAATAACTCTCTTGCATCTGGCTCCTCTCCGGACTCTGGGGGGCCCCGGGCTGTGGCCCCATCTCTCCAGTCTCCACCTTCTCCTCTGTCTCTCATGACGATATTGAACTCAGGAGGCTGAGGCAGGATGGTCTCCCCTTGAGATCCTCCAGTAATTTCCTCAGAGGGAAACTTTTTTCAAATCAGGCAATGTGTGTAGGTTCAGGGGGCCAGAATATACATATAAATTTGGGGGGTCAGCATTCATCGTTCAGAATCGTAGTGGGCTCCCTGCTGCGTGACTTACCTAGCTCACTTTCTCCAGGCAGCTGTGCTGTGGCCCCGGACGTGTGACCGTACTGGGGGGACATTGGTTTTTGTCACATATGGGGGGGCCCTGGGTCCTGGAGGTGGAGCCAGAGACGTGACCCACATCCTGCAGCCTCCTGGGGAACCACCAGGTCCCAGATGTGCACAGCACCGAGGGTGAGAATGTGGGTCTTGGTGTGAGAAACCCGATCGATCAACTATCAGTCTGCCCATCGATCTGTCTGTCTTCTGTACATCTGTCTGCAATCATATTTGTCTGTGTGGATTATCTGCGTGTGTGTCACCTATTTTATCTGTGAATCATCTGTGCCCGCCATCTCTGAATTATCTACCTATCCACAGTCACCTAGTGTCTATCATCTGTCCTACACGTTTATCAGGTTATCCAGATATCTGATCCCATACCTGTGAAATTTCCACCTGTACATCTGTGAGTCAATCTATGATCGTGTATGTATTGATCTTCACCTATCCTGTACCATCTGTGTCTCAGTCAGCTACGCATCCATTTGATCCATCAGTATATCTACCTACAGAACATCAATGTATCTGTATCATCTACTTATGTATCTATTAGTGTCCATACTCAGGCATGAGTCAATCAGCTATCATTCAGCATCGATCATGTCATCCATCTATCCCTTGGAGCTCCTCACCTTAAAGCCTGACTCAGTTTCCCTGCCTGTTAAGACTGTGTCAAGAAGAGAACTATTGAAGCGTGGGGATTACAAGGAATTTGTTTTAAACTGCTCTGATTTATACCCCAAACTCAGTCGAAGGTCGGCCATGAGAAATCTCACACAGGTATTCGGAAAATATCATTTTATTATTCGATGTACAGCCAATGGACCTTAAAAGTACAGGAAAGCAGCCATGAAAATAACAGCTCTCTCATCGGTGTGAGCATGGACCAATGCCCACAGCCAAGAGGGAGAAAATGGCTTGGACCACGCAGCGAGCTGTGATCCTGCAGAGAAGTTTCCAGACTTTTCTGGAACCTTCTATACTCGGTTTTGTGAGATCATAACTTAATTTTCTGTTTCCTCTGGCCCTCCGCTCCCCTCACAGACCACAGCTTTCACCATTAATTTAGGTATTCAGTATCCCAGCCCAGGAAAAGGAATATCACAGTGGTTATTGAATTTGCAGGAGATTGGAGAGAGATTGAATTTTTAATTTTTATTTTTGCATTAATTGGATTTCCATATACCCGAGTCTTGTAAAGACCAATAATTTATTATTTTTTAACGAGACGGGAAATATTTCCCTTGCTAGTCTCATCGTCTCATTAGAAAGAAAAAAATATATATTTATATATAACTATATAAAAAGTGATTTTCAGGGAGAGAGAGAGTTCTTTCATCTACAAATGGCAGCTGTGAAGTGTGGGAATGCAGATTTCAACAAAAATAGTGATCAGGATGGTCTTAAGACTTTATTGCAGGCACTGGAGCTTTGGAACCGCAGACCACCTAACTGGATCTGTTCTAGAACGTTCCATCATGTCGGCCTTGCTGAGGTTGCTGGGGGTCTTTGGGGGGTCTTCAGGCTCTGTTTATTGGAAAAATTTGTTACCAGAAAATGGCCCCGAAGTACCCTACGGATGCTTAGAGAGCCAGGCACGTGATTTTGGTAAAAACAGAAATTGCAGGGCGATCCCGTCTCCCAGGATGGGCCGGTGACGTTTTTTGGGGTGTTGTAAAAAAAGTCCTCAAGGCGACTTCCTTCCTGCTGCCTGAAGAACTTCCGGGTCACGGAGCCGGGGTCAAGGTTAAACTTGCAATGCAAGGAGCCCGGGTTAAGGCTGACCTCCACCCCGAACCCCGGAAGTCCAGCTCAGGGTCAAGGCCAACTTCTAACCCAAGACCCCAAGTCAGGGCTTCATTTGCAACCTGAGGAGCTGACGATGGTGTCCACCATGCTACCCACGCCCGGAGCTGGCCTGAGCTGGAGCAGAAGACCTTCAGCTCCAAACCCAAGCGCTGGACTGCAAGGTGACCTCGGCTGGAGATCCCCGGAGCTTAAATCGAAGCGAACCCCGACTTGGAACCCAACCGGCATCCAGTGCGCCCCGTGCATCCTTGACGTCTGCAAAGCCCCAGAGCCCCGGTGTGCTTACAAATGGCCCCTCTGGCCCCTTCCAAAGGACGACCCGGCCGTCCACCCGGTCCGTGGACATCTCAGTAGACGTGGACGTAGGTGACTTTGGAGTCCGTCCCCAGGACGTTCTTGGCCGTGCACTTGTAGAAGCCGGCGTCCTGCGTCGTGGCCTGCTGGATGGTCAGCGAGCCCTGCGGATGCAGGAATTTGTTCCCGTGCACACGGCCCTGGGCCCCGGCCACCAGCTGCGACTTGTCGGGCAGCTCCCACGATATGTCCGCCTTGGGGATCCCCACGGACCTGCAGCTCATCTTCACCGTGTCCCCGGGCCGCGTGTAGATGAACGGGGCGGGCTCGCTGGTGATGCGGGGTGGGTAGGCGATCACGATGACCGGCACGGTCACGGTGGTGGACGCGCCGTGCTCCGTGTGCGTCCTGCACGTGTAGGTCCCCCGGTCGAACACCGAGGCCTCCCGCACGGTCAGGGTGCCGTTGTCCAGGGCCGAGACGCGGCCCAGCGCTTGGGGACTGCTGAGCGTCGTCCCGCCGGGCAGCGTCCAGGAGAAGCGTCCACGCCGGGGGCCGCCCGGGAGGGCGCACTGCAGACGCAGGGTCTCGCCGGTGACGATGCTGACCACGTTGTGGTGCAGATACTGCCTGCTGGGCTCGGGCGGCGGCCCCACGCTCAGGGCCACCAGCCTCTCCGCGTGGCCGGCCGCGTTGCGGGCCACGCAGCGGTAGGCGCCCGCGTCGGCCGGGGACAGCCCGGTGATGAGCATCCTGCCGTCCACGCCGTGGCCGAACCTGCCCAGCCGCTGCCCGGCCTGCAGCTCGGTGCCGTTGGGCAGCACCCAGAGCAGGCTGGGCGGCGGCGTCCCGCCGGCCGAGCAGTTGAGGCTGATGGTGTGGCCGGCGGCGGCCGTGATGTGCTCGCTCAGGGGGTCGCGGAAGGCCGGCTTCTGCGCGGCGTCCAGCACGGTCAGCTGCACGGTCAGCCTGGCCTCGCCGCCCGCGTTGCGTGCGATGCAGGTCAGGGAGCCCGAGTCGGCCGTGCGGAGGCTCCTGATGTCCAGGGAGCCGTTGCGGTGCACGGTGACCCTGTTTCCGTAGTAGGGGGCGGGCAGGGTGACCCCCTCGGGGAAGGCCCACAGCACGCGGGGCCTTGGCACGCCCCGGGCCTCGCAGTCCAGCAGCTCCCGGCCGCCGGCCTCCGCCACCTCCCGCACGGTGGCCGTGGCGTCGGGGTTCCCGTTGATCCTGGGGGGCTCCAGGCGCACGTGCACCCACACGGTGGTCCTGCGCTCGCCATCGGGGCCCCTGGCCACGCACGTGTAGTTCCCGCTGTCCGAGCGCTGGGCTTTGTGCACCAGCAGGGTCCCGTCGGGGAAGACCCGGTACTTGTCCGAGGACGCGGGGATCACCTTGTTGGTGGGAGACAGCCACGTCACGCCGGGCACCGGCCGGCCCGTGGCCTCGCAGGCCACGCTGACCACGTCCCCGTAGGACACCTGCACGGCGCCGTAGCTGTGGTTCCGCGCGGCCGGGCCGTCGGCCAGCACCCTGACGTGCACCCGCATCTGGTCCTGGCCCAGCCGGTTCTGGGCGAAGCAGGTGTAGTCGCCCTCCTCGCGCGGGCCCACCTCGTTGAGGTACAGGGTGCCGTTGTGGAAGACCACGTAGCGCTTGGCTCGGCCCCCGCCGGCGGCGTCCGACTGCATGAGCGAGTTGACCAGGCTCCCGTCGGGCAGCCCCCAGGAGATCTCGGGGCTGGGCAGCCCGGTGGCCACGCAGTCCACCCTCAGGTCGCCGCCGTGCACCACGCTCTGGTCGTTCTCCTTGTGCTGGATCTGCGCGGCCTTCATGACCACGTTGACGCGCAGGACCGCGTGGTCGTCCCCCAGCTTGTTCCTGGCCACGCAGAGGTAGTCACCCGCGTCCGTGTCGGTGACGGACTTCACCACCAGGGTCCCGTTGGCCAGGGCCCGCACCCTGCTGTCCGAGCTGCTGGACAAACGGGGGACAGAGAGGAGGAGAAGCCATCAGGCCGGGGCGTGCTCCCTCCCTCGGCCTCCTGCCCGGGTCCCGGGGTGGGGTGCAGGCGAGGTGTGCTCCAGGCAAAGGGCCGTGTGCACGCCTGCTGGGTCAGACAGAGCTGGGGAGACCCGGGTCCCGGGGATGGGGAGCAGGTGAGGTGTGCTCCAGGCAAAGGGCCGTGTGCACGCCTGCTGGGTCAGACAGAGCTGGGGAGACCCGGGTCCCGGGGTGGGGTGCAGGTGAGGTGTCCTCCAGGCAAAGGGCCGTGTGCACGCCTGCTGGGTCAGACAGAGCTGGGGAGACCCGGGTCCCGGGGTGGGGTGCAGGTGAGGTGTCCTCCAGGCAAAGGGCCGTGTGCACGCCTGCTGGGTCAGACAGAGCTGGGGAGACCCGGGTCTCGGGGTGGGGTGCAGGTGAGGTGTGCTCCGGGCAAAGGGCCGTGTGCACGCCTGCTGGGTCAGACAGAGCTGGGGAGACCCGGGCTGCGGCCCAGGGAAGGCCACCGCACCCCTGGATCCTGCAAACTCTGAGCTGCAGCCCGGAGCCATCACGGTGCCCGCAGGCCTCTCTGTGGCACCGATCGGACATTGGGGGTCAAAATGTGAGCTCCCCGACCTGATTCGGGGCTGGGTCCAGCGGGCAGAGCTTCCGATCCTGAGTTATCACACAGGACCCTCAAGAGCGGGCGATGGCCGGCCATGTGCAGGTGGGAGATATTATTTTGAAGCGTGTGAGCACTCTCTTAAAATACGTGGAGCTCTGAGAGCTGCAGACTTGCGAGGTGACGGTTTGCGGCCACGCGGGGCTCACGGCAGCTCAGGGAGGGTGTCTAAGCACCCAGCAGGGGTAAGCTATTGCTGCTGCTATTATTATTATTATTATTTGTGGTGAGAATGCTCAAAACCCTTCTGCCCAGCTCGCCTGTTTCATTCTGTTTTGCTTTGGTTTTTGTGTCTGTGTGTGTGTGATTGTACGTTCAGGGTCTTCCGATGCTGTCCAGGCTGACTGTGCTGTCGCTCTGCAGCCCGGGCTGGCCTTGAACGTGTGGGGATGCGACCTTCGTCGTGAATGTGACTTTTTTTACTGAAATGCAGGGGTGTCATTTCAAAGCTGGTATTTTAAATAACACGGTGACAAGATTGGGGAGCTCTAAGAATTTTCTAGAATTTTCTAGAATTTTCTGGAATTTGCTAGAATTTTCCGGAATTTGCTAGAATTTTCTACGTGGGAATCTCCACTGCAGGTGTTTTGTCACTGTGGGGAGTCAGAAGGTGGGACTCTGAACTTTAATCCTTCAGTATCTCCTAAGTACAGCAGTATGTAGGATTCTGCTAGGGATTGAGCTACATTCTCCTCCTTTTCTAATTTGTGTTTATTTTTATGTTTTATTTTTTGAGACAAGGTCTTGTTACATTACCAGGATGCTCAGGCTGGGCTGGATCTGTGATCCTCCTGCCTCGGCCACCCAGAGTGCTGGGGGTACAGATTTGCACCAGTGTCACCCACGGGCAACGCTATTCCCATGGTGTGTGTCCCGAATTGTGTTACATGGCATAGGTATACCATTTATGTATCTAGCTGTCTGTCTGTCTATCTATCATCTATCTATCTGTGTATCCATCCTATCTATCTATCTATCTGTCTGTCTATCTATCATCTATCTATCTGTGTATCCATCCTATCTATCTATCTATCTATCTATCTATCTATCTATCTATCTATCTACCTATCTATCTATCCATCCTATCTGCCTGTCTATCCATCCTGTCTGTCTATCCATCCTGTTTGTCTATCTGTCTATCTACCCATCCTGTTTGTCTATCTATCCATCCTGTCTGTCTATCCATCCTATGTGTTTGTCTATCTCTCTCTCTCTCTCTGTCTGTCTATCCATCCTGTCTGTCTGTCTATCTATCTATCTATGTATCTATCTGTCTGTTTATCCATCCTGTCTTTCTATCCATCCTGTTTGTCTGTCTGTCTATCTACCCATCCTGTTTGTCTATCTATCCATCCTATCTGTCTGTCTATCCATCCTGTCTGTCTGTCTATCTATCTATCTATCTATGTATCTATCTGTCTGTTTATCCATCCTGTCTGTCTATCCATCCTGTTTGTCTATCTGTCTATCTACCCATCCTGTTTGTCTATCTATCCATCCTGTCTGTCTATCCATCCTATGTGTTTGTCTATCTCTCTCTCTCTCTCTCTCTCTGTCTGTCTGTCTATCCATCCTGTCTGTCTGTCTATCTATCTATCTATCTATGTATCTATCTGTCTGTTTATCCATCCTGTCTTTCTATCCATCCTGTTTGTCTGTCTGTCTATCTACCCATCCTGTTTGTCTATCTATCCATCCTATCTGTCTGTCTATCCATCCTATGTGTTTGTCTATCTCTCTCTCTCTCTCTCTCTCTCTCTCTCTCTCTCTCTCTCTGTCTGTCTATCCATCCTGTCTGTCTATCTATCTATCTATCTATCTATCTATCTATCTATCTATCTGTCTATCCATCCTATCTGTTTGTCTATCTATCCTGTCTATCTATGCATCTATCTATCTGTCTTCTATCCATCCTATCTGTCTGTCTATCCATCCTATGTGTTTGTCTATCTATCTATCTATCTATCTATCTTTCTATCTATCTGTCTATCCATCCTGTTTGTCTATCTGTCTATCCATCCTGTCTGTCTGTCTATCTGTCTGTCTATCCATCCTATCTGTTTGTCTATCTATCCATCTATCTATCTGTCTTCTATCCATCCTATCTGTCTGTCTACCCATCCTATCTATCTATCCATCCATCCTATCTATCTATCTATCTATCTATCCATCTATCTGTCTTCTACCCATCCTGTGTCTGTCTGTCTATCCATCCTATCTGTTTATCTATCTATCTATCTATCTATCTATCTATCTATCTATCTAGTCTATCCATCCTGTCTATCTATCTATCTATCTATCTATCTATCTATCTATCTATCTACCTATCTATCTATCCATCCTATCTGCCTGTCTATCCATCCTGTCTGTCTATCCATCCTGTTTGTCTATCTGTCTATCTACCCATCCTGTTTGTCTATCTATCCATCCTGTCTGTCTATCCATCCTATCTGTTTGTCTATCTATCCATCTATCTATCTGTCTTCTATCCATCCTATCTGTCTGTCTACCCATCCTATCTATCTATCCATCCATCCTATCTATCTATCCATCTATCTGTCTTCTACCCATCCTGTGTCTGTCTGTCTATCCATCCTATCTGTTTATCTATCTATCTATCTATCTATCTATCTATCTATCTATCTAGTCTATCCATCCTGTCTATCTATCTATCTATCTATCTATCTATCTATCTGTCTGTCTATCCATCCTGTCTATCCATCCATCCTATCTATCTGTCTTCTACCCATCCTATGTGTCTGTCTATCCATCCTGTCTATCTATCTATCTATCTATCTATCTATCTATCTATCTATCTATCTATGTATCCATCCTATCTGTTTGTCTATCTATCTATCCATCTGTCTATCTATCCATCCTATCTATCTATCTATCTATCTATCTATCTATCTATCTATCTATCTTTCTATCTATCTATCCATCTGTCTATCCATCCTGTCTGTCCATCTATCTATCCATCTATCTATCTATCTGTATGTCTGTATCCACCCTATCTGTCTATCTATCCATCTATCTATCTATCTGTCTTCTATCCATCCTATCTGTCTGTCTATCCATCCATCCTATCTATCTATCCATCTATCTATCTGTCTTCTACCCATCCTATGTGTCTGTCTATCCATCCTGTTTGTCTATCTATCTATCTATCTATCTATCTATCTATCTATCTAATCTATCTATCTATCTATCTATCTATCTATCTATCTATCTATCTGTCTATCCATCCTGTTTGTCTATCTATCCATCTGTTCATCTATCCATCCTATCTATCCATCCTATCTGTCTGTCTGTCTGTCTATCCAACCTGTCTATCCATCCATCCTATGTATCCATCTATCTATTTGTCTTCTACCCATCCTATGTGTCTGTCTATCCATCCTCTTTGTCTATCTATCTATCTATCTATCTATCTATCTATCTATCTATCTGTGTATCCATCCTATCTATTTGTCTATCTATCCATCTGTCTGTCTATCTATCCATCCTATCTACCCATCTATCCTGTCTATCTATCTATCTATCATCTATCATCTATCTATCTATCTATCTATCTATCTATCTATCTATCTATCTATCTATGTATCCATCCTATCTGTCTGTCTGTCTATCCATCTGTCTATCTATCCATCCTATCTACCCATCTATCCTGTCTATCTATCTATCTGTCTGTCTGTCTGTCTATCCATCCTATCTGTCTATCCATCCATCCTATCTATCTATCCATCTATCTATCTGTCTTCTACCCATCCTATGTGTCTGTCTATCCATCCTGTCTATCTATCTATCTATCTATCTATCTATCTATCTATCTATCTATCTGTGTATCCATCCTATCTGTCTGTCTGTCTATCCATCTGTCTATCTATCCATCCTATCTACCCATCTATCCTGTCTATCTATCCATCTATCTATCCATCTATCTATCTACTGTATGTCTGTCTATCCATCCTATCTGTCTGTCTATCCATCTATCATCCATCCTATCCATATATCCATCACCTACGTATTGCCAACGACTGAATCCATCCTGGTCTTTGTTAATCGAGTCAGCCTCCGGAACTGCCCGATCCAGCGGCTCACAGGCTGTACCCGCGGGCAGCGGACCGTCTGAGCCCCTGAGCAGGCCAGGCCGTGGGAGCGTGCCCAGGCCCCTGGCACTGCTGCACGGTGGCTGCCCACGGCTGCCTCCGGGGCCGTGCCCCTGCGCCCCGTCAGCTCAGATCCACGCGGTGGATCCGATCGCACACCCGTTCCGATGCCATGGAGCCCGCTTGGGCAGGCCAAGGCCAGCGGGGCAGGTGTCTCCCACTGCCCTGTGACACGCGGTCTCCTGTGGTCTAAGCAACGCTCCGTACACGAGCCCACACGGGCTGTCTGACCACGTTTTCCTCCACATGCACCGAGGTGGGGTTCAGAGGGAGGGGACCGCAGGACAGTGGGGGTGACCTCTCTGGGCCCTGCAGGGACCGCCCGGGTCCCCCGCGTCTGCTGTGGCTCAGCTCGGGGGTGACATCACCCTGAAGGCAGCCGGTGTGGCCTGGCCTGGTGGGGAGCTCGGAGATTCCAGGAGACCCAGCTCAGTGCAGAGCTGAGCGATTTCCTGCACCGAGAGCTCGGGGGGAGGAGACCCAGGGGACCAAGGGTCCCTGGACTGGGACCTGGGGGCCCCTCAAGGTGCTCCATCACCTCCCAGGCTGCTAACGAGCCGAGACCCCACGTGCTAGCCAGCTCCTCCCGTCTGCACGGCCCCTGAGGTCTTCGGGTGTCCCCTGTCTGAGGGTACCACCAAGGGCCCCCCCTGCGGGTGAGTCCCACATTCTCAGAGCTCTAGGACAGAGCAGAATGCCTGGTCTCCCCCAGGAGAATCGAGGAACAGGCACCCCACTCCCGACCCCGGGAGGAACGGATGTGTCTCCAGGGCTGCCAGGGGACCCCGGCAGGGGCACCAACCAGCAACCCAGGGCCACAACCCTAAACATATGGAGTGACAGGCAGATGCCAAAGTGGTGGACGGGGTCACATAGGAGAGAGGCAGAGGTGCACTCACTCGGACACATAGGTAGGTGACAGACAGACAGACAGACAGGCTCTGCTGTAGGGCCATCACCAACACGGGTGCAGGGGATGCTCTGAGGGGCCGTGCTGTGCACTGTAGGGTACAGAGCAGGGTCTCTGGGCTCCATCTCCAGGGGTCAGGGCCAATCTACACTTACCGTAAGAAACATCTCTTCAGATATGGGCAGATGTTCCTCAAGTGGAGAAATCATCTCCACGTGACAATCATTATAGGATGGATAGACAGCTATAAACACTGGACAGATGGTTGAACAGGTGAGTAAGTGGATGGGTCGGTGGATGGATGGATGGATGGGTGGATGGATGGATGGATGGATGGATGGGTGGATGGATGGGTGGGTGGATGGATGAGTGGATGGATAGATGGGTGGATGGGTGGATGGATGGATGGATGGATGGGTGGATGGATGGATGGATGGATGGGTGGATGGATGGATGGATGGGTGGATGGATGGATGGATGGATGGATGGATGGATGGGTGGATGGATGGATGGATGGATGGATGGGTGGATGGATGGGTGGGTGGATGGATGAGTGGATGGATAGATGGGTGGATGGGTGGATGGATGGATGGATGGATGGGTGGATGGATGGATGGATGGATGGGTGGATGGATGGATGGGAGGATGGATGGGTGGATGGATGGATGGATGGATGGGTGGATGGATGGGTGGGTGGATGGATGAGTGGATGGATAGATGGGTGGATGGGTGGATGGATGGATGGATGGATGGGTGGATGGATGGATGGATGGATGGGTGGATGGATGGGTGGGTGGATGGATGAGTGGATGGATAGATGGGTGGATGGGTGGATGGATGGATGGATGGATGGGTGGATGGATGGATGGATGGGTGGATGGATGGATGGGAGGATGGATGGGTGGATGGATGGATGGATGGATGGATGGATGGGTGGATGGATGGATGGGAGGATGGATGGGTGGATGGATGGATGGATGGATGGATGGATGGGTGGATGGATGGATGGGTGGATGGATGGATGGATGGTGGATGGATGGATGGGTGGATGGATGGATGGATGGATGGATGGGTGGATGGATGGATGGGAGGATGGATGGGTGGATGGATGGATGGATGGATGGATGGATGGGTGGATGGATGGGTGGGTGGATGGATGAGTGGATGGATAGATGGGTGGATGGGTGGATGACTGGGTGGGTGGATGGATGGATGGATGGATGGGTGGGAGGATGGATGGATGGATGGATGGATGGATGCATGCATGAGTGGATGGATGGGTGGATGGATGGGTGGGTGGATGGGTGGGTGTATGGATGGATGGATGGATGGATGGATGGATGGGTGGATGGATGGATGGATGGATGGATGGGTGGATGGGTGGATGGAGGGATGGATGGATGGGTGGATGGGTGGGTGGATGGATGGATGGATGGATGGATGGATGGGTGGATGGATGGGTGGATGGATGGGTGGATGGATGGGTGGATGGGTGGGTGGATGGATGGGTGGATGGGTGGGTGGATGGGTGGGTGGATGGATGGGTGGATGGATGGGTGGATGGATGGGTGGATGGATGGGTGGATGGGTGGGTGGATGGGTGGGTGGATGGATGGGTGGATGGATGGGTGGATGGATGGGTACGTAGATGGGTGGGTGGATTGGTGCATGGAGGGGTGGGTGGGTCTGTGTAGAGATTGATACATGGGTTGGCTGGAGGATGGATGGGTGGGCAGATCGGTGGTTGGACTGATGAATAGTTGGTGAGTGAATTCGAGATGAGGAAGAGATGTTATGTTTTGGAAAGGTGGTAGACAGACACACAGATATATGTAAGTACGTGGGAGATAGAAATGCATTCTTGGATACCGGATGACAGATACAGACAGGTAGACATGAAGAATGGATGGATAAATACATGTGTTGCTGGATGGAGAAAGGGAAGGGGGAGAAGGATACTAATTTGGAGTCAGAGGTAAATACACTTATAGATAGCTGTAAATAGATGGCGGCAGAAATGGCTCCAGAGGTCAATGATGATATGCTGATAGATAATAGACTGAATGACGGATGGACCGATGATAAATAACACCCCACAAACGCAAGGGAGGAGGAGGCAGGAAGGAGGGAAAAGTTCTGCCTACCGACTGTCAGCCCTCGCCCTGGGGCTCTGCAGACGGGCGTCTTGGGGCTGCGGTGGGCACGGCGGGAGCAGCGGGGTCTCTGGGCTCCGCCTGCACGTCAGAGCAGCCCAGGGTACAGCGGGAAACAGCCCCAGACAGAGCCAAGAGTCCACTAGGGCAAACCCAGGCCCAGGGAGAATCCCCAGCCGCTAGGCCTGGGCTCCCGTGATGGAATCATGGCTTCCTCCCGTAAAGGGGGCTGCTGAGGCCGCTGCGGGGGGAGCCCGGAGCCTCTGCGTGCCTGGTTAACAGAACCGGGAGGTCAAGGGGCCCGCTTGGTCCTTTCCTCCCGCAGTCTCTGAAGCTAAGCTGCAAACACTGAGGATTTCTTTCCGATTTGTCTTTTTCTGTGTGTCCCTCTCTGCCTCTCTGTCTCTGTCTTTCTGTCTCTGTCTGTGTCTGCCTCGTTCTGTCTCTGTCTCTCTCTGGGTTTCTGTGTGTCTCTGTCTCTGTCTCTCTCTTTCTCCTTTTTTAAATTCTATTTGTGGGGCTGGAAATGGGGATTGTTAGCCAGGGGTTGTAGTGCTAAGCTGCTTTCTGTAGCACCAAACAGAAAGTCACAATAGATTTCTTTGTGTTTTTCTTGTGTGTGCGTGAGTGTGCATGCCTGTGTGTGCACCTGTGTGCACCTGTGTGTACCTGTGTGTCTGTACCTGTGTGTGTGTACCTGTGTGTGTACCTCTGTGTGTGTACCTGTGTGTGTGTACCTCTGTGTGTACCTGTGTGTGTACCTCTGTGTGTATACCTGTGTGTGTATCTCTGTGTGTGTACCTGTGTGTACCTGTGTGTACCTGTGTGTGTGTACCTGTGTGTACCTCTGTGTGTATACCTGTGTGTGTACCTGTGTGTACGTGTGTGTACCTCTGTGTGTACCTCTATGTGTGTACCTGTGTGTGTGTACCTGTGTGTACCTGTGTGTGTGTACCTGTGTGCAACTCTGTGTGTTTACCTGTGTGTGTACCTCTGTGTGTGTACCTGTGTGTTGTACCTGTGTGTACCTGTGTGTACCTGTGTGTGTATACCTGTGTATATGTGTAATGCATTAACAGAGGGCGAGGGCTGGATTTATGTCCCGGATCTCTGCGGTCTTTGATGCTTTGTCATTTGTCTTTTTGATTCTGTCTTTATCATCCACAAACCCTGAGCCACGTCCCCCCCGAGAGCCCCCGGGCCAGCCCTTGTAAAGCAATCTTCATTTCTATCCCTGACTGGCTTGATTCACGTATTATTTCACACCTCGAGGCCGGCTCCTGCTCTCGCCCTGCCTGGGCTGGATGGAGCCGGAGACCCTCCTGCCTCAGCCTCCCGAGCCCTCGGATGACACGCATGGCCACCACGCTGGGCAGACAAAACCCCGGGCACGCACCGGCTCCCGCTCTGAGCATCACGCTGCAGGGTGAGGCCTCCTGCTCGAAGCCCCAGACCGCAGAAGTCGGGGTGCACTCCCGGGCGGGTCCCCGCTTACCTATACAGCGCGTCGATCATGCGCTTGGACGGCAGGCGCCAGAGGATGCGTGGCCAGGGGTCCCCCGAGGCGCTGCAGTCCAGCCGCAGGGTCCCCCCGTACCGGACGTCGGTGCTGCGGGGCGAGGCGCGGGTGATGCGCGCGTGGGCCGCTGTGCGCTGGACGCTGAGCTGCACGGCCCTGCGCGCCGAGCCCACGGAGTTGGTGGCCACGCAGTCGTAGCGGCCGCTGTCCTTGGGCGCCAGGTTGCGGATGTAGAGCGTCCCGTTGGGGAAGACAAAGAGGTTTCCGTGCAGGAACTGTGAGGGCCGGATGTGGGCGCCCTGGGGCAGCACCCAGCGCAGGCTGGCCGGGGGCGCCGCCGTGACCGAGCAGTGGATGTGGACGCTCAGGCCCGGGGGCAGCGAGATGTTCTCGGCCTTCTGCTGGCCGATGACCGGGGGCAGCGCGGCCACGTGCAGCCGGATGGCCAGGCTGTCCGCGCCCGCCGTGTTGCTGGCCACACACTTGTACACGCCGCGGTCAGCGAAGGACGCGTCCCTGATGGTCAGGGTCCTGTTGGGGTGCAGGGTGACCCTGCCCTCGGCGGGGGACGCCGAGTGCCAGACGCGGCCGTCCGGGAAGACCCAGGAGATCTGCGGTGCCGGGGTGCCCTTGGCCAGGCACTCCACGGCGACGGTGTCCCCCAGGTAGACCGTGACGTCCTGGTAGGGGGACGTCAGGATCCGGGGCTGCTGGGCCGTGACGGTCAGCAGCACCCCCGTCTTGTCCACGCCGTGCGGGTTGCTGGCGGTGCACAGGTACTGGCCGCGGTCTTGAACCTGCGCCCTGCGGATGAGCAGGGTCCCGTTCTTCAGGACCTCGAAGCGCGGGAGCCGGGTGTTGGGGGTCATCAGGGCTCCTGGAGCAGGACAGCAAATGGGGTTCAATCAGAGAGGGGCGGGGAGCACGGGACCCCCAGGGGGGGAGCCGATGACTCAAGGCATCTGACTTCTAAGGTTCCCTGTGCTCAGTGTGTGTTCTGTGGGAACGGAAGGGCCTGAATGGGTTAAAACTGGAAATTCTATCCCACCCAGCTACGCCCATCTAGGAGCCTTCCCAGAATAGTTAAAGTCATCATAAACATGCCCATGGGCTTAGCGGCACAATTCAGGCCAGCGAGATCTTGCACGGGCCGTGGGAGCATCCACAGATGAATAGATTAGGGAAATGTGGCGTTTACAGCCCTGGAGTACTACTCTGCCCTGAAGAAGGGCATGCAGGGATCATCTGTGAGAAACTGCTGGGTCTTGGGTCTGTAATGTTCCATGAAATGCGTGGCACGTGGCACCTTCACTGCTGCATGGGCTCTCTTCTGTGAGAAGCCCACAGTGTAAGTCAAGGGCAAAATGGAGGACAGGACGAAAATGGAAGACAGGATCATTTTCAAAAGGGTAAAAGAGACCAAAGGTGGTCGGAGAGGAGGGAGGGAGGGAGAGAAACTAATTAGTGACAGGCACACGCAGCAGCCCGACACACAGAAGGTGGACATCGTTCACTGAAGCTGATTGTTTGCTTTGCAGCACACAGGACTCGAACCCAGGCTCTCAGCGCTGAACTGGGTCTTTTTTGAGTCTTATTTTGAAAAAGAGTCCACCAGGCTGCACACAAACTGTGACCGGAGAGGTACGATCCTGGCAGGTGCCGTGCGGCTGGGCTCACCTTGGCCTCCTCTTCTCGAGGCTCAAATTTGCAAAAGCAAACAGGACAGAGAGAGAGAGAGAGAGAGAGAGAGAGAGAGAGAGAGAGAGAGGTTTGGTGGCCAAACCGTCAGGGAGGTGCAGATTAAACCCTCAGACAGGGCAGCACCCTGCAGATGAGAAGGAGCTGGTGGCGGGTGCTGCTGGGCTTGCAGTGATTCGGTTCATTAGTTTGAGACACAACTAAGACACTCACTGAAGTGTGGTTCTCAGTGGGTCAACAAGGTGTGGCCTCGGGAACTGTGATCGGTTCCTGGCACTATCTTCTGTAGCTGACGCCCAATGCTTCCCAGCCACCATAACGGGAGCGTCTCTCCTCCCCACACCGTCCACCATGATGCTCCCGCCTTGGAGCAGCCGGCCATGGACTGCACCCTCTGCACCCCTGAGCCACACTAAGCTCCCTCTTTAAGCTGTCTTCTGGTCCCCGGCTCCTCCCTTCTCTCCCTGCTTCCCGGCCACCATGATGGGAGCGTCTCTCCTCCCCACACCATCCACCATGATGCTCCCGCCCTGGAGCAGCCAGCCATGGACTGCACCCTCTGCACCCCTGAGCCACACTGAGCTCCCTCTTTAAGCTGTGTTCTGGTCCCCGGCTCCTCCCTTCTCTCCCTGCTTCCCGGCCACCATGATGGGAGCGTCTTTCCTCCCCACACCGTCCACCATGATGCTCCCGCCTTGGAGCAGCCGGCCATGGACTGCACCCTCTGCACCCCTGAGCCACACTGAGCTCCCTCTTTAAGCTGTGCTCTGGTCCCCGGCTCCTCCCTTCTCTCCCTGCTTCCCGGCCACCATGATGGGAGCGTCTCTCCTCCCCACACCATCCACCATGATGCTCCCGCCCTGGAGCAGCCGGCCATGGACTGCACCCTCTGCACCCCTGAGCCACACTGAGCTCCCTCTTTAAGCTGTGCTCTGGTCCCCGGCTCCTCCCTTCTCTCTCTGCTTCCCAGCCACCATAACGGGAGCGTCTCTCCTCCCCACACCGTCCACCATGTTGCTCCTGCCCTGGAGCACCCGGCCATGGACTGCACCCTCTGCACCCCTGAGCCACACTGAGCTCCCTCTTTAAGCTGTGCTCTGGTCCCCGGCTCCTCCCTTCTCTCCCTGCTTCCCGGCCACCATGATGGGAGCGTCTCTCCTCCCCACACCGTCCACCATGATGCTCCCGCCCTGGAGCAGCCAGCCATGGACTGCACCCTCTGCACCCCTGAGCCACACTGAGCTCCCTCTTTAAGCTGTGTTCTGGTCCCCGGCTCCTCCCTTCTCTCCCTGCTTCCCGGCCACCATGATGGGAGCGTCTCTCCTCCCCACACCGTCCACCATGATGCTCCCGCCCTGGAGCAGCCGGCCATGGATTGCACCCTCTGCACCCCAGAGCCTCACTGAGCTCCCTCTTTAAGCTGTGTTCTGGTCCCCGGCTCCTCCCTTCTCTCCCTGCTTCCCGGCAACCATGATGGGAGCGTCTCTCCTCCCCACACCGTCCACCATGATGCTCCCGCCTTGGAGCAGCCGGCCATGGACTGCACCCTCTGCACCCCTGAGCCACACTGAGCTCCCTCTTTAAGCTGTGCTCTGGTCCCCGGCTCCTCCCTTCTCTCTCTGCTTCCCAGCCACCATAACGGGAGCGTCTCTCCTCCCCACACCGTCCACCATGTTGCTCCTGCCCTGGAGCACCCGGCCATGGACTGCACCCTCTGCACCCCTGAGCCACACTGAGCTCCCTCTTTAAGCTGTGTTCTGGTCCCCGGCTGCTCCCTTCTCTCCCTGCTTCCCGGCCACCATGATGTGAGCGTCTCTCCTCCCCACACTGTCCACCATGACGCTCCTGCGTTGGAGCGGCCGGCCATGGACTGCACCCTCTGCACCCCTGAGCCACACTGAGCTCCCTCTTTAAGCTGTGTTCTGGTCCCCGGCTCCTCCCTTCTCTCCCTGCTTCCCGGCCACCATGATGGGAGCGTCTCTCCTCCCCACACCGTCCACCGTGATGCTCCTACCTTGGAGCAGCCGGCCATGGACTGCACCCTCTGCACCCCTGAGCCACACTGAGCTCCCTCTTTAAGCTATGTTCTGGTCCCCGGCTCCTCCCTTCTCCCTCGGCTTCCCGGCCACCATGACGGGAGCGTCTCTCCTCCCCACACCGTCCACCATGATGCTCCCGCCTTGGAGCAGCCGGCCATGGACTGCACCCTCTGCACCCTGAGCCACACTGAGCTCCCTCTTTAAGCTGTGCTCTGGTCCCCGGCTCCTCCCTTCTCTCCCTGCTTCCCGGCCACCATGATGGGAGCGTCTCTCCTCCCCACACTGTCCACCATGACGCTCCTGCGTTGGAGCGGCCGGCCATGGACTGCACCCTCTGCACCCCTGAGCCACACTGAGCTCCCTCTTTAAGCTGTGTTCTGGTCCCCGGCTCCTCCCTTCTCTCCCTGCTTCCCGGCCACCATGATGGGAGCGTCTCTCCTCCCCACACCATCCACCATGATGCTCCCGCCCTGGAGCAGCCAGCCATGGACTGCACCCTCTGCACCCCTGAGCCACACTGAGCTCCCTCTTTAAGCTGTGTTCTGGTCCCCGGCTCCTCCCTTCTCTCCCTGCTTCCCGGCCACCATGATGGGAGCGTCTCTCCTCCCCACACCGTCCACCATGATGCTCCCGCCCTGGAGCAGCCGGCCATGGATTGCACCCTCTGCACCCCAGAGCCTCACTGAGCTCCCTCTTTAAGCTGTGTTCTGGTCCCCGGCTCCTCCCTTCTCTCCCTGCTTCCCGGCAACCATGATGGGAGCGTCTCTCCTCCCCACACCGTCCACCATGATGCTCCCGCCTTGGAGCAGCCGGCCATGGACTGCACCCTCTGCACCCCTGAGCCACACTGAGCTCCCTCTTTAAGCTGTGCTCTGGTCCCCGGCTCCTCCCTTCTCTCTCTGCTTCCCAGCCACCATAACGGGAGCGTCTCTCCTCCCCACACCGTCCACCATGTTGCTCCTGCCCTGGAGCACCCGGCCATGGACTGCACCCTCTGCACCCCTGAGCCACACTGAGCTCCCTCTTTAAGCTGTGTTCTGGTCCCCGGCTGCTCCCTTCTCTCCCTGCTTCCCGGCCACCATGATGTGAGCGTCTCTCCTCCCCACACTGTCCACCATGACGCTCCTGCGTTGGAGCGGCCGGCCATGGACTGCACCCTCTGCACCCCTGAGCCACACTGAGCTCCCTCTTTAAGCTGTGTTCTGGTCCCCGGCTCCTCCCTTCTCTCCCTGCTTCCCGGCCACCATGATGGGAGCGTCTCTCCTCCCCACACCGTCCACCGTGATGCTCCTACCTTGGAGCAGCCGGCCATGGACTGCACCCTCTGCACCCCTGAGCCACACTGAGCTCCCTCTTTAAGCTATGTTCTGGTCCCCGGCTCCTCCCTTCTCCCTCGGCTTCCCGGCCACCATGACGGGAGCGTCTCTCCTCCCCACACCGTCCACCATGATGCTCCCGCCTTGGAGCAGCCGGCCATGGACTGCACCCTCTGCACCCTGAGCCACACTGAGCTCCCTCTTTAAGCTGTGCTCTGGTCCCCGGCTCCTCCCTTCTCTCCCTGCTTCCCGGCCACCATGACGGGAGCGTCTCTCCTCCCCACACCGTCCACCATGATGCTCCCGCCCTGGAGCAGCCGGCCATGGACTGCACCCTCTGCACCCCTGAGCCACACTGAGCTCCCTCTTTAAGCTGTGTTCTGGTCCCCGGCTCCTCCCTTCTCTCCCTGCTTCCCGGCCACCATGATGGGAGCGTCTCTCCTCCCCACACCGTCCACCATGATGCTCCCGCCTTGGAGCATCTGACTGCGGACTTTCCTCTCTGCAACTGTGAGCCAAAATTAATTTCTCCTCCAGATGCTCATTACAGAAACAGAAAAGTGGCCGATGCTGTGAGACTGGGGAAGCAGGACCACTCACACACGTTTGCTGGTGGGAATGTGAGTGGCAGTGCCAATGTGGAAAAATTAAACGCAGGGCTGCCATGCACCGCAGGTGCCCGGTTCCTGCCTGCAGAGCTGTGGGAGTGAGCTCAGTGTTTGGAGAGATGCGTTTGTGCTCCTGTGAACCTCAGTGGCGTTCTCCACAGCAGTGACACCGGATCAACCGGGTGCATGTCCGCCCATCGATAGATAAGCTCAGAGTGGTGATTTATTAGTCAGTCGTGAGCGGGAAGGGAACTGTGCCCTTTGTAAGAACAGGGGCGACCCGGAGAGTACTGTGTTAAGTGAGATAATGTAGGGACAGAAAGACAAAGATTGAGCTCACAGGAGAGGACGAGGGGACCGGTGCTGACCAGGGCCGGGAAGATGGGGTCTAGAGTTACCAACTTTGGCATGCCGGCAGGTGTGAATGCCAGATACCGCTTCTGCTCGTGACAACCCTAGCTAACGGCCGCGTATTTCGTATTTGAAAAAGGTTTGGACGGGGATCAAGGGTTCTCGCTACAGAAAGAGAAGGAGGATCTCAGCATTGTTGCTCTAGAGAACCCCGCGCATGGCTCTGTGCCCAGCTCTAGGCTCCCTGTTCACCCCTGCAGCCACGCCCGGTACCCAGCCACCCCCTCCTGTAACCATGGTTACAGAGGCAGCTTCCCGTAACCATGGTTACAGAGGCAGCTTCCCGTAACCGTGGTTACAGAGGCAGCTTCCCATAACCGTGGTTACAGAGGCAGCTTCCCGTAACCGTGGTTACAGAGGCAGCTTCCCGTAACCGTGGTTACAGAGGCAGCTTCCCGTAACCATGGTTACAGAGGCAGCTTCCCGTAACCGTGGTTACAGAGGCAGCTTCCCATAACCATGGTTACAGAGGCAGCTTCCCGTAACCATGGTTACAGAGCAGCTTGCGCGTCTCACCTGTGGAGACCTTGGTCCAGGTGATGAAAGGCCGGGGTTCGCCGGTCGCCTCGCACGGGAACATCACGTCCGATTCCGCGGTGACGGACAGCGTCTGGGGGGATTTGCTGATAATCTGGGGTTTTTCTCCGGGCGTCCAGAACTGGGGGGCAGGAGGCCCTCGGATGAAGATCTTGGTGCTGACGTCACGGGAACCCCCGGGGGACTGGCCGGGGGGCGTCAGGAAGGGGCTGGAGCTCCGGGTGGGGTACGCCAGGGGGCCGTTGTGAAAGGGGGTGGCAGTCCGGGCAAAGTGAGGTATTGGGGGTGCCGGGGGCCCCAGATCCACATACGGGAAGCCCTGGGGCGGGAACCTGCTGTAGGGGCCAGAGACGGGCTTTCTTTGTCTGGCTCCTGGGGCTGGGGAGGTGGCCGAGGGGGGCTTTGGGGTGACTCTGGACGGCGGGAAAGCGAAGGTCCGGCTGGTGGGGAACGGGAACCGGGGGGCGTAAGGAGGGCTGGGCTTTGGAGGCTCCCGGACGGGGCTCCCCTGCTCCGGGATGTTGTTCCCCAGGGCTCTGGAGTAGCCGCTGACTGGGTTCGATCTTTGGTCGGGCAGCCTGCTGGGGACGCGGGGTGTGCCCGGGGTCTGTGCGCCGGGAGTCGAGGTGCTGGGGGCCCGGGGGGTCGTGAGCTGTTTGCCCTGCAGCCAGACCCTGGAGGGACGCGTGGTCGTCTCCGGTTTCTGGGTGAAGCCGCGCGGTGGCTGGAAAGTCACAAAGTGTCTCACGGGGCCTTGTGAGGTTCGGAGAGGCGGCCTCTCGGATCCCCTCGGCGGGGTGGGCTCTGCGGGGTACCCCGCCGGCTGGACCTCCCCACGATGGAGGTGGCCGTCCGGACCACGCGGTAAGCTGTTCCCCGTCCTGCCGTCCACCAACCCGGGCTTGGCAGAAACGTTCCATCCGTCCCGGCGGGGAGCCAGAGTGGACAGCTCCTCGGGTGTCCACTGCTGCACAAGCGGGTCTCTGTCCTCTGTGGGTGCCGTGGTCTCTGGGTTTCCCGCCCAGCTGGAGAAAACCTTTCCCGTGGGCTCGGGCCACCCGGGCAATGCGCCGGCAGAGGCTGGCCACAGCTTCGTGGGGGTCACTGCTGAGGTCCGAGGAGCTCTGGGGAGGGAGGAGGTGGCCGGGTCCTCCCCCCGGGCCACGGTGGGCATGGGACTCTCCGGTGTGGTTTCAGCAAGGACGGGCACCACCACCGTGCTTTGCCCGCCATCCGGGGCCCCGGTGGCGCCTCTCGACTGCCCTAAAGATGGCTCCAGCCCTGCGCTGGGGGAGGCGTCGGGGGGCCAGACATCTCCCCGTGGCCCTGACTCCACGCTGGTGACAGCGGGTGATGGCGGAGAGGTGGCCTCTCTGGCCTCCAGCTCTCTGAAGAGCAAAAGGTCTGTGATGTCCTCCTCTAAGTGGACGCCAGGAGCCCTGGTGGCTGGTGGCCCTGGCTGGGCTGTCCTGGGGTGATGCCAGCCTGGATTCCCAGGATCGCCTGCAGGACGGGCCTCGGCCTTGGGCTGCCCTGCGCTGGACACCGAGGGGCGAGCCGTTGATGGCTCATCAGCATCCAGCTGGCCAGAGAGCCCCGCGCCGTCTCCAAGACCGCTTGCGTGGGCGATCCCACGATCCGTGGCTCCTTGTGGACCCGTGGCTCCTTGTGGACTCGTCGTTCCTTGTGGATTCCTGGCTCCTTGTGGACTCGTGGCTCCTTGTGGATTCATGGCTCCTTGTGGATTCGTGGCTCCTTGTGGACTCGTGGCTCCTTGTGTACTCGTGGTTCCTTGTGGATTCATGGCTCCTTGTGGACTCGTGGCTCCTTGTGGATTCATGGCTCCTTGTGGACTCGTGGCTCCTTGTGGACCCATGGTACCTTGTGGACCTGTGGCTCCTTGTGTACTCGTGGTTCCTTGTGGATTCGTGGCTCCTTGTGGACTCGTGGCTCCTTGTGGACTCGTGGTTTCTTGTGGATTCGTGGCTCCTTGTGGATTTATGGCTCCTTGTGGACCCGTGGCTCCTTGTGGACCCATGGTTCCTTGTGGACTTATGGCTCCGTGTGGACCCGTGGCTCCTTGTAGACCCGTGGCTCCTTGTGGATCCGTGGTTCCCTCTGGATCTGCTTCGGGCTGCTGCGTGCCCAGAACCGTCTCCTGGACTGTACGATGAGGCCCTGGGGCCTGGGGGGCAGCTGTGACATCATCTTCCAGTCTGGTCACCCCGCCTGGGGCTCCCGTTTCTGCAGGTGGGGGTGCAGTTTGTGCCCCGGCAGTGAGGGCTGGCTCGGGCTGACTTTCGGGGGGAGCACCGGGCTGGGGCACGGAGCTCTTTGAGGTCGGGGTGGCGGCGCCAGCTCGGTGTCTGTGGGGCCTTTTCCCGTTTCTCCTCCGTGCGGTCCCCCTGGATGCGGATTCCGCGTGTTTCTCTGCGTCCGGCCGCTCAGGGACAGGGACCGTGGTGTCTCCCCAAGAGGTGGGAGCCGGGGAGCTCTGCGCAGGCTTCGGGATCCCCGTTTCTGCAGAAGGTGGGGTTGGAGGCGCCCCTGACAGGGCAGAGGGTGTCGGGGGGATTTGTTTCTGGCGGTGCCGAGATTTGTGGGGGCGCGGCCGCCTCCTGCCCCCGGGTCTCCTTCGGGTGGACGGGGGCGACAGTGTGGGCGGCCGAGTGGCCGCGTGGCTTGCTGTGGCCTCTGCTCCTGGGGTGACGCCTCTGCCCGGTTCCTCCCCAGGGGCGACCTCCCCGGCCTGTGTGAATGGGGCTTCAGGTGTGACGTCTTCCCCTGCGCCCTCAGGGGATCTGGACGTGGGCGTCTCCCCCAAAACCCCGTCTTCCAGGCCTTTCTTCCTAGCTGGAGCCCGTGCAGTGGCCACACTATTTCCCAGCGGCAGGGCACCGCCTGGTCTTCCTTGTCCGTGTGACCAGGCTGACATCTCTTGCTTCCCTAAAGAGGAATTTCCAAACGACTTGGGCACACTGGAGACCCCCGAGCTCGCCGTGGGCAGCTCGGTTTCGGGAGCCGTCTGCACGTCCAGGAGTGTGTTATTCTGTCCATCTGGGTGGGCGTGCTTCACAGTCTGGGGCTCAGCGGAGGGGCTGGCACCCAACGGGGGCTTTTCCTGCTTCCTCCTGGGTCGTGTCACGGGTTCTACCGGTGCAGGCCGAGCACTTGTGGCCGTCTGGTCATCCGTGGTGTCCTCTGGGGTCCACAGACTCACTGCCCGAGGGGCATCCGGCCCGGGGACGGCGGTCAGCTCCCAGTCCAGCTCAGAGCCGGCTGGAGACGGAGCCTCGGGCTTCTCCAGAAAGTACCCACCAGGGCCTTCCTCATGCAGAGGGGGGCCGGACACTTGGGGCTCGGGGAGAGCGGCGCCTCCTCCGTGGCCGCCTCCTCCGTGGCCGCCTCCTCCGTGGCCGCCTCCTCCGTGGCCGCCTTCTCCGTGGCCGCCTTCTCCGTGGCCACCTTCGTGCTCCATCCCCGGGGAGGAGCTGGTGCTGGAGCCTTGTTCTTCCTCCACGAAGAGAGGCGCCTGTGCGGATGCCTCCTCCAGATCCGGGGCTCCCTGGGTGGGGGACCCGGGTGGGGGAGCCATTGCGGGGGACGGGGGCCGCCCCTCCGGACTCCTGGCTTGAGGCGCAGTGGTGGTGGCTTCCCGGGGCGCCTCGCTGGCCTTGGGGAGAGCCTTCCCGCCCCGCACCCTGGCCAGGATGTCCGCCCAGCGCGCGGGGTTGATCTGCTTGCTGGCCACGTTGACCCTGCGCCTGGACTCGAACGCCCTGCGGCCCTCGGCCACGCTGCTGCTGTCCGGCTCCTTCCGCGAGGGCTTCCACACTTTAAGCTTCCTCCTGGCCTGCTTCTTCTTCTTCGGGGTCCTGCTCCCCGGGGCCCCCTCGTCCTCCGCCTTGGAGAAGGCCGCCTCTTGGTCCTTGGGAGGAAGGCCCTTCCCGGCCGGGTCCTCCTGGTCTGCCAGCCCGGAGCCTTCCCCGTCCTCCGCCACGTGGCCGTGGGTCCCCGAGCCGGGCCTGGCCCCCGGGCGCCTGCCTCTCTTCCCCGCCCGGCCGGCCCCCGTCCTCCTCACGGAGACGCCCACGGAGAAGTGGTCAGCGCCTTGCAGGTTGACGGCCACACATCTGTACTCGCCGCTGTGCGCGGCCTGCGCGCTGGGGATGGACAGCGTGCCGTCGGCCAGCATGTATGCGTGGGACGCGTTGGCCGAGCCATCCAGGATCCTTTTATTGGGGAGAATCCAGCTGACGTGGGCTTCTGGGACGGCAGAGGCGCGACAGGGCAGCGACACGGGCTCCCCGGCGTCCTTCTCCACGGTCACCATGGAGCTCTCCAGGGACTGGGCGCCGGGCGCCTGCACCAGCACCCTGAAGGCCATCTGGTCCACCTCGTCCCTCACCTCCGCGACGCACCGGTAGAGGCCGGAGTCGGCCGGCTCGGCGGCCCTGATCTTCAGCCAGCCGCCGCTGAGCGCCGACAGCCGGCCGCCCTGCCCCTGCCCGGGCGCCCTGAGCACAGAGCCGTCGGGCAGCACCCAGGAGATGGCCGGGCTCTCGGAGGCCTTCACGCGGCAGCTCAGCTGGCCGGGCTCCCCTTCCAGCAGGGTCAGGGCTCGGTGCTGCCCGTCCCCGGGCTCGATCATGACCCAGCTTGTGCCGCGAGCTGGCCCGTGGGCGTCCGCGGCCGAGATGGTCTGCGAGTACTGGGCCGTGTAGGACAGCAGGACCCTGCTGGCCGTGCTCCGGCGCCGGTCCAGCTGGATGGACACGGAGCTCTGCAAGACCCACTCGGGCCGGGCCGCGATCTGGGCGCGGACGCCGGTGTAATACAGGGCGTCGTCGGCGGCCGCCTGGCGGTACCGATAGCTCGGGCCACCGCCCCGCGCAGCCTCCCGGGTCAGCTTGACGGGGACCTCGCTGTAGTAGGCGATGAGCTTCCAGAGCCTCTCGTAGGTGTCCCGCGTCACAGGGCAGCGCAAGTCCAGCGCGATGGTGGCGTTGAGGTGGACCTCGGGGGCGTCGGTCTGGTTGAGGTGGACGCTGCGGACGCCTCTGGGCCTCCTGATGCCGCACGGCAGGAGCACCGCGTTCCCGTGCTCGTCCGTCAGGTTGAAGGACACGTTCCAGCCCGAGGAGGACGAGGACGCGTCCTGCAGGCCCCCGAGCCCGTCCTCCTCGTCCCCATCGTGCTCGTCGGAGTCACTGTCCTCCTCGTCCTCCTTGTCCTTCTCGTCCTCGTCCTCCTGCTCCGAGGAGCTCAGGCTCTGTCTCAGAGGGGACGCGATGGACGGCTTCACGCAGGGGACTGCGGTCAGCCCGAGCAGCTCCCGCGGCTCCAAGTCCCGGGGAGACGAGCACGCCGGGCACCACTGGCCACCCTCGTAGGCTTTGTCCTTCTTACACTTGAGGATCCCTGAAAGACAGCGTGGGCGGGTGGGGGACGCCCGGGTCAGCGGCCACAGCGTCCAGGGAGGCAGTGACCGCGTCCGGCCCCGGCCCGGGTGTCCGTGACGGGGCCTCGGGGCGCCCAGGGGCTGTCACCGCGGCGCCCACGACTGTGACTCAAACGTGGGCTTGTCCACCGAGCCACGCTGTGGCCTGGTCACTGATTTTGTTTATAGAAAACGTGGTTCCCCGAGCCCGAGGCTGTCACTGGGCGGCCCGGGCTGGGCTCCATCTCGGGATCGTCTCGCATCGGCCTCCCAGAGCGCCGGGGTGACAGGCGGGCGCCAGAGTCCTCGCCTGGGCAAAGTGGCCGGACGCCGAGGCCGGGCGTGGCCGTGGGAGCCCCACGTCTCACTCCCTGTCTGTCTGTCTGTCTCTATATCTCACACCCCTGTGCACGTGCCCGCCCCGCTTGCCCCGGCTTCCTCCTGCACCCCGTGGAGCTGCAGATCGTGCCCCCCAACGTGTCCCCGTCCCGGAAAGCCGGGTGCGGGCGGGCGAGTGTCCCCTCCGGCCCGGGCCGGCGGCCGCCCTCACCTTTGTTCCTGGCGGCCCAGTCCAGGAGCCAGCGCAGGGTGCAGTCGCAGGCCCAGGGGTTCCCGTGCAGGTAGAGGGTCTCCAGCAGCGGCATGGCGTGCAGGACCCCGTCCGGCAGCCCCCGCAGCGCGTTCTCGGCCAGGTAGAGGTGCCGCAGCGTGGACAGGCGGAAGACGCCCAGGAAGCTGACCGTGCAGAAGGTGGCCGGGTGCAGCTGGTGCAGGCGGTTCCCCTCCAGCTGCAGCAGCCGCAGCGACAGCAGCCCCTCGAAGGCGTGCGGGTGCACGAACTCGATCTGGTTGTGGTCCACGTGCAGCCGCACCAGCCGCGACAGGCCCCGGAAGGTTCCCCGGTGACCACGCGCAGCTTGTTGTAGCTGAATTTGAAGACCTGCAGGGAGACGACGGACAGACAGACAGACAGAGGAGGGCAGACGATGAGGGACAAGCATACAGGCAGGGAAGAGGAAGGGGAGGGGACAGAGGGGGTGAAGAGGGGAGAGGAGGAGGAGGGAGAGGGAGGAGGAGGAGGAGAGAGGAAGGAGGGGTGGGGGGAGGGTAGATGTGGGGGAGGGGGAAGGTAGGGGGGAGGGTAGATGTGAGGGGGAGGGTAGATGTGGGGGGAGGGGGAGGGGGAGGGGGGGGTAGATGTGAGGGGGAGGGGGAGGGGAGGGGGGAGGGTAGATGTGATAGATGTGAGGGGGAGGGTAGATGTGGGGGGAGGGGGAGGGTAGGGGGGAGGGTAGATGTGAGGGGGAGGGGGAGGGTAGATGTGAGGAGGGGAGGGGGAGGTTAGGGGGAGGGTAGATGTGAGGGGGAGGGTAGATGTGGGGGGAGGGGGAGGGTAGATGTGAGGGGGAGGGGGAGGGGAGGGTAGATGTGAGGGGGAGGGTAGATGTGAGGGGGAGGGTAGATGTGGGGGGAGGGGGAGGGTAGATGTGAGGGGGAGGGGGAGGGGAGGGGGGAGGGTAGATGTGAGGGGGAGGGTAGATTTGAGGGGGAGGGGAGGTGCAGAGTTGGGAGGGGGAGGCGAATGGAGGGGGAGGGGGAGGGGAGGGTAGATGTGGGGGAGGGGGAGGGTAGGGGGAGGGTAGATGTCAGGGGGGAGAGGGGAGGGGGAGGGGAGGGGGTGGATGTGAGGGGGAGGGGGAGGGGGAGGGGGGAGGGTGGATGTGAGGGGAGGGGAGGGGAGGGAAGGGAAGGTGGGGTGGGGGGTGCAGGGAGGGGAGCAGGAGGTGGGCAGGTGTGAGTGGCGGGAGGGAGGGAATCTTCAGGGTTTACAGAGCCACAGCCAAGCGCAGAGCAGGGTACCAAGGGGGGGACGTGGCCACATAGAAAGGCACCATTTCCTGTCAAAGAGCAGCGATCTTACAGACGGCCGGGGAGGGAGGACGGGCAGGTCCAGCATTCGGGCCTTCGGGGCGGCCATGGAGGACGCAGGCGGCCAGGGCTGAGCTCACCTGCAGGGAGCTGAGGTCCCTCAAGGCTCGGTCGGGGATGCTGGGAATGTCATTGCCGTGGATCATAAGCAGCTCCAGCTTGCTCAGCCCTGCAAAGGACGTCTCCGAGATGGCCTGGATGCTGTTGAACCTGGAAGGAGGAGCAGGAGAGGACGAGATGGAGGAGATGGAGGAGGAGGAGATGGAGGAGGAGGAGATGGAGGAGGAGGAGGAGATGGAGGAAGAGGAGATGGAGGAGGAGGAGATGGAGGAGGAGGAGATGGAGGAGGAGGAGGAGATGGAGGAAGAGGAGATGGAGGAGGAGGAGATGGAGGAGGAGGAGATGGAGGAGGAGGAGATGGAGGAGGAGATGGAGGAGGAGATGGAGGAGCAGGAGATGGAGGAGGAGGTGGAGGAGGAGGAGATGGAGGAGGAGGAGATGGAGGAGGAGATGGAGGAGGAGGAGATGGAAGAGGAGGAGATGGAGGAGGAGGAGATGGAGGAGGAGGTGGAGGAGGAGGAGATGGAGGAGGAGGAGATGGAGGAGGAGGAGGAGATGGAGGAAGAGGAGATGGAGGAGGAGGAGATGGAGGAGGAGGAGATGGAGGAGGAGGAGATGGAGGAGGAGGAGATGGAGGAGGAGGGAAATAGAAGAGGAGATGGAGGAGGAGATGGAGGAGGAGGAGATGGAGGAGGAGGAGATGGAGGAGGAGGAGATGGAGGAGGAGGAGATGGAGGAGGAGGAGGAGATGGAGGAAGAGGAGATGGAGGAGGAGGAGATGGAGGAGGAGGAGATGGAGGAGGAGGAGGAGATGGAGGAAGAGGAGATGGAGGAGGAGGAGATGGAGGAGGAGGAGATGGAGGAGGAGGAGATGGAGGAGGAGGAGATGGAGGAGATGGAGGAGGAGATGGAGGAGGAGGAGATGGAGGAGGAGAGATGGAGGAGGAGGAGATGGAGGAGGAGGAGATGCAGGAGGAGATGGAGGAGGAGGAGATAGAGGAGGAGGAGATGGAGGAGGAGATGAAGGAGGAGGAGGGAGATGGAGGAGGAGGAGATGGAGGAGGAGGGAGATGGAGGAGGAGGAGATGGAGGGGAGGAGATGGAGAAGGAGGAGGTGGAGGAGATGGAGGAGGAGGAGATGGAGGAGGAGGAGATGGAGGAGGAGGAGATGGAGGAGGAGGAGATGGAGGAGGAGGAGATGGAGGAGGGAGGAGATGGAGGAGATGGAGGAGGAGGAGATGGAGGAGGAGGAGGAGGAGATGGAGGAGGAGGAGATGGAGGAGGAGGAGGAGATGGAGGAGGAGGAGATGGAGGATGGAGGAGGAGGAGATGGAGGAGGAGGAGGAGAGGGAGGGGAGGAGATGGAGGGGGGAGGAGATGGAGGAGGAGGAGATGGAGGAGATGGAGGAGGAAGGAGATGGAGGAGATGGAGGAGGAGGAGATGGAGGAGGAGGAGATGGAGGGGAGGAGATGGAGGAGATGGAGGAGGAGGAGATGGAGGAGATGGAGGAGGAGGATGGAGGAGGAGGAGATAGGAGGAGGAGAGGAGAGATGGAGGAGGAGGAGATGGAGGAGGAGGAGGAGATGGAGGAGGAGGAGATGGAGGAGGAGGAGATGGAGGCAGGAGCATTGTGGTGGGAGCTCAGTGTGGCTCAGGGGTGCAGAGGGTGCAGTCCATGGCCGGCTGCTCCAGGGCGGGAGCGTCATGGTGGACGGTGTGGGGAGGAGAGACGCTCCCATCACGGCCGGCAAGCAGGGAGAGAAGGGAAGAGCCGGGGACCAGAACACAGCTTAAAGAGGGGAGCTCAGTGTGGCTCATGGGTGCAGAGGGTGCAATCCATGGCCGGCTGCTCCAGGGCGGGAGCGTCATGGTGGACGGTGTGGGGAGGAGAGACGCTCCCATCATGGTGGCCGGGAAGCAGGGAGAGAAGGGAGGAGCCGGGGACCAGAACACAGCTTAAAGAGGGAGCTCAGTGTGGCTCAGGGGTGCAGAGGGTGCAGTCCATGGCCGGCTGCTCCAGGCGGGAGCATCATGGTGGACGGTGTGGGGAGGAGAGACGCTCCTGTCATGGTGGCCGGGAAGCAGGGAGAGAAGGGAGGAGCCAGGGACCAGAACACAGCTTAAAGAGGGAGCTCAGTGTGGCTCAGGGGTGCAGAGGGTGCAGTCCATGGCCGGCTGCTCCAAGGCGGGAGCATCACGGTGGACTGTTGGGGTCCTGCAGCCTTGACAGCCAGAAATTAAATGGGGCGCGGCAGGCATTAAGCTTTGGTGCATTTCTTGCTGATGGACACTCGGCTGCAAGCTGGGCTGGACCTTGCTGTCCTGAGCCACGCTGGGAGCTCCCAGATCGGCTCTCATCGCCAGAGCCGCCGAGTGATGGGGGTACAGTGGACATGGCGGAGTATTTCAGCTCAACATGAGCTAGGAATGAATGTTAGAGCTCTGTGCTGACCGTCTGATCAGAACCTCGACTTTCAAGACACCTTCGCCTGGACCCTGGACTTGGGAGGACAGAAACCGGGACGTGGTCACCTCGTTCTCAGCCTGACAGCTTCGGCCCTGTGCGGCACCCGAATACCGTGCTTCTGCACCCCAAGATCCCCGTGGTGCATGCATCTGATGCTTGCCCAGGCTGTCCTCAAACTCACAATGATCCTCCTGCGTCTGCCTCCCGAGTGCTATTCGGTCCCTCTGTTCGGCCACCAGACTTTATATTTAATAGACAAAGTAGGCGGTATATTATCTTGATGTTCTAAGATATTATATACAGCCGGGCACAGAGGCCCACGGCTGTCACCCCAGCACTCACTGGGGAGGCTGAGGCAGGAGGGTCGCTGTGAGTTCGAGACCAGCCTGGCTGCAGAGTGAGCTCAAGGCCGGCCTGGACTACAGATCGAGACCCCGACTCAAACACACAGCAACAAACAATAACAACAAAAAAGATTTCATATACATTACATGCCAACAACTGTCTATACGTATGTCATCTATCTGTCTGTCTGTCTTTCCCTCTGTCCATCTGTCTCTCAACCCCGTGGTCTAAAAGGCCCGGGGATAATTACCATGATTTTTTCAGCTGCTCAGGGCTGGCCACATTATAAAAACATTTCCGCAACGGGTATTCATCCAAGCACACGGATTACACCTGTTGTCTTCCAAAAGGTGGAAACCAACTAATTGATTCTATTGAAGGAACTCGGGCCCCGGCTGCGGACATCGTATCCAAACGGCCCTGGCTCACGAGGGCTGGACTTTGGTGGGCGCTCATTTAGAGAATTAATCGCCATTCGTGACTGCATGATTGGATGGTCTTGCAGGTGTGTGTGTGCACGTGTGCGTGTGCATGTGTGTGCATGTGCGTGCGTGCATGTGTGTGGGTCCACAGGCGCCCTGTCACTCCCTGGTCCACTGGCTGCAGACGCCATCCAGCTCAAAGCACGAAGCGGGTTCCTGATTCGAATCCTGATTTTCCTCCCCGTCCTGTATAATTTTCCCCGCAGCCCATAACTCTGCCATCCTGTGTACTGCGGGCACAGCCTGGTTTCTCGTAGGCAAACAGCAAGCGGCTCCTCAGGCCTCAGCCACCATCCGAGCCCCGGAGGAGACACAGAGGTCAGTACCATTCCCCTTCCCTATCACCGCGTGTCCCCAGCGCTGTGTGAACAGTCCCCCAAGACCCTGAGCATGCTGCATGCACATGCACACCAGAGTCCAAAGCGCGCTCTCCGGGCAACCTTGGAGGAGCTTTGACGTGTTGCTGGCAACCCAAAGGGCGTCTTTTGCAACCTCAAAGTTGGCATGAGGAGCAGAGAGACACCCCAAGGGTGTTCCTCCGGAAGCTAAGCTGACACACGTGTACACACACTCACCCACTCCCGTGTGCACACTCGGGAACCCACGCATGCACCGGAAAGGCTTGCCCGGGAGGAGCCGGGTACGCACCCCAAGTTGATCCTCTCCACCTGTTTGGAGATGCCCGCGGGCACGGCAGGCAGGGACCGGAAAGTGCAGTGGACCTCGCTGGGCACGTAGCAGGCACACGGGTGGGGACAGGCCGGGGCCACTCGCGGGTGGCCCCAGATGACGATCAGCACCGCGGAGAGCGCCCCCCAGGGCACGCGCCTGCTCTGCATGGTGTCCGGGTTCGAAGCTCAGAGGGACCTGCGGGAGAAGGGGGCACGGTGAGCTCCTCCTGGGGGCCGGGGCCCGGGCCTGCGGGCTCCCGCCTGGGCACCGCATGCCAACTGGGCAGCTGCTGCGAGACCCCACGGGCGCCTAAAACCGTGGCCTGGAGAAACAGGAAACTCGGCACGGTGGGGTCACCTCTGCAAACCAGCCTCAACTGCTGGGACACAACCGGGTTTTCTGCTTCGACTAGGATAGGAGGGTTCGGGCATCTCGCTGGGTCGTACTGTGCAAGATCAGCGTGCAAGAGACAAGGCCCAGGGGAGGTGCAGAGACAGAGACGTGCAGAGACAGAGACGTGGGGAGGGACGAGGAGGAGGCAGGGTGGTGACGGAGGGTGCTGGCGGCTGAGCCCCTGAAAATCCTTCACTGCTTTCCGAAACAGCAAAGCAGAATCCGTGTGTGTGTTTGAGTTTTGAAAACAACCTCAGGAAAACCATTTTGGAGAAACTGTTCCTCAGTCCCCAGCTGTCAAAGTGCTACTGCGGCCTTAAAGGCCATCAGTGGCGATGGAGGTCCATCCCCTTCACGGTCACTTTGTGGACTGGTTATTTTTTCCTTTTGTCTTTTTGGGAGACGGGGTCTCGCCGTGCAGTCCAGGCCGGCCTTGAGTTCACTGTGCAGCCCAGGCTGGTCTCGGACCCCCAGAGATCGTCCTGCCTCAGCCTCCGGCTCCCAGAGATCGTCCTGCCTCAGCCTCCCCGGTGAGTGCTGGGGTGACAGGCGGGAGCCACCACGCCCGGCTGTGGACTGATTATTTGGTTTTTGCTTCCTCTTTGTGTTGAAGTCACGGTGTAGACGGCTCAGGGTTATTCTGCAGGGAGTGGAGGGTAGCTCTGCAGACCTCCATAAAAATCAGTCCAGAGATAAAGGGAAAATCAACAGCCTGGTGGGATCCGTTCTCAACACATAACAGCATTCGAGGAAGCCCCTCACAATTTGGTTTCTTTTTGCAAACACTCGGGGTGGTTTCCATGGGTGAGCCTTCTTCATTAGACACTAGGATTGAATGAATTGTTTTTAATGCACCGACCATTGCTTGGTGGCCTGGTGTTTTTGGATTTTGTGTCTCCAGGCGCTGACTGCGCCCTGGTCACCTGCCGTTTGCACGTCTCCTGAGTGAAGTTCACTCGGCTGTAACGGCCCGCGTGGCGGCTCCATGGCGACTCGCATGGACCAGAAAGTTGCGCAAGGGCTCCTTCTCCGTCCGGGCCACGCATCCACACCCAAGTGCTGTCCTGGGTGGGATGGCGGGTGGGGACCCCGCACCGGATCCGCTCGGTTCCTTGAGGGACCTCCGAGAGACGAAGCCCTTCGCGGCCTGCAGTGTCCGCGCGCCTGGCAGCTGCGCGCACAGAGCGCGGGGCGCAGCGGCTGCGCCCCGGCCAGCTGGGCTCGGGCTGGGTTCGGGCCGCCAGCAGAACCGGCTGCTGGCTTCTTCCAAGAGCTTCCGGGAAAGCCAGGGCTGCCCGAGGTCTCCGATGACGCCCCGCGCCGGCCTGCGCCGCCTGGCTGCCTTCCTGCACTCAGGCTTGGCCGCGCCAGAGAAGCCGCCCCCGGGAACCCGAGCTCTGCAGCAGCAGCGCCCTGCACCGGCCGGGGCTCGGGGCAGCTGGACAGGCTCGGGGTGGGGGCACCCACATGGGGCGCGCCGAGGGGGACGGGCACCCTGCTCCCCGGGCTGCGCGGTCACCTGGCGGGTCTCTCTCCAGGGCGCGCGCTCGGCTGCGTTGGCGGCTCTGCGCCCCTGGCCGGCATCCAGGACCCGGCGCGCCCAGCCGGCGTCTGCGCGGGGAATTGTGTGGTTTTCTGAGAGGCGGCTCGGGTTGCAGCTCGGGGTCCCCGAGCTGGCTGGGGCTGAGTGCAGAGCTGCCCGGGTCCCTGCCTGGTGGAGATGCGCGGTGACCGGGGTTGCGTTAGGTCGCAGCCTTTCCAGGAAAGGGGAGGAGGAGGAGGCGGGGGCAGGAAGTGGTGGTGGTGGAGGAGAAGGAGGAGGAGAAGAAAGAGGAGATGGAGGAGAAGGAGGAGGAGAAGAAAGAGGAGATGGAGGAGGAGGAGATGGAGGAGGAGGTGGAGGATCCGCACCGTTGTAGGGGCGCGCGGAGACGCAGCAGAGGACCCGGGGTGGGGGGCCCTCCGCAGTGGGGTCCCGGGTCTGCAGGACGCACAGCCCACACTGAGGGACCCCGCTGGTTGCTGGGGAGCCGAGTGTTGCGCCAGAGCGAGGGGGCGAGCGAGAGGCGCCGAGGAGCCAGCCGGGAGCCGACCTCTCCAAGCTCCTCTGCAGCGCGCCCCGGGCGCCAGGGGCTTCCCGCCTCCCCTCCGACCCCAGCGCGCCCTGGGAGGCCCCGCCGTCCTCACCTGCGCCGGGGGAGCCGCAGGACGCGAGATCGGAGCGCACGGAGGATCAGGGGCCCGGGGCGCGCACGGCTCACGGGCACCGGTGCGCGGGGACCATGTCCCTCCAGGGCCCGGGGCCGAGGCAGGGCGGCTTCCCAGCGCGGCACGGCGGGGCCGCTTATATTCCCTGCGCCCGCCCGCCCGCCCGCCCGGAGGCTTCCCCGAGTCCACGCCTCGGCCCAGACCCACCCCCACCAGGCCGCCCCACCCCACCCCACCCCACCCCGGGGAGCCGACGGGGCGTGCGCCGAGGGACCCTGGTGGCCCGCGCTCAGCCCTCCCCGCGCCGCTTCATTGTGCCCGGCGCCGCGCGCTCTGCAGGATCCGCCGGAGCCCCAGGAGCTGTGCGCGCTGGGCACGCGGACGGGACGCACGGGGGCGCGGGGGGCGGGCAGAGCGGATCTCCGCGGAGAGGCGAGTCCTGATCCGCGAAAAGGACGCAGAAGTCCGAGTCCGGGAAGCTGCAGCGCGGCTCAGGGCGCGCGGAGAGCAACGTGCGCGGAGGAAGGGAAGGCGCGGGCGCCTGGCGCCGTCTGCTTTCCGGAGTTTGCGCGTCTCCGGGCCAGAGCGCGGCGGAGGAGGAGGCGGAGGCGGCGGCGGGACTTTTCCAGCTGCGCCTTCCGGCCCGGGGCGCAGCCAGGAGCCAGGAGCGAGGCTCAGGCCTCCGTGCAACGTGAGCTCCGCGCACCACGCCCGGCTCCCGCCTCCCTCCCCGCCGGCTGCAGCCAACGTGGGACGCCAGGGCCCGCGCGCTCCTGCGCTGCTGCGGGTGCATGGAGCAGGGAGCAGGCCAGAGGTGCTGGGGTGCCAGGGTCCCCCCAAAAGCAGCGCATGTGGAGCGGGGGGGGGGGCTGGCAGTGTCCGCAGTCCTGGAGCTCTGCTGGCAGAGGTCACCAAGCGCACGGACCAAGAGCGCGCCACGTGCGGAGCGAGGCCTGGTCCGGGCTCACAGAGCCCTGCAGCCCCGCTAGGGTGGGGGTCCCCAGAGAAAGTAGCAAGCAGACCTGCTGGGGTGTGGTCACCCCGATTTCCCACGTGCAAGGGTTGAAGGCATCGTCCCAGAGTGACACCTGTGCTCCACAGGGGGGCAATGTGTGATGGCCAAGCACGTTGGCCTAGGAGTCCGCGCCACCGGAGTAGGGATGGGTAGAGAATGTGGGGCGTGCACATGCCGTAGAGTACGACTCTGCCAAGAAAAAGGCCGAGCTCGGGTCGTCTGCAGGAAAACGGTTGAGACCAGGATGTTAACAGAAGTAAGTCAGACTCGGGAGCTGAGATATCGCCTGGTTTCTCCTGTAAGAGACCCAGAGCACGGATAAACGGGAAAGGGAAAGAAAAGAGAAGAAGCAGGCTTATGGGTCTATCACACAACAGAAGGGGGCAGAGAGGCCGATGGAGGACACAGGCAGAGGCTGTGAACAAATAGAGCAGGACGGGGCGGGAAGGTGTGCTGGTTCCCATCGTGAGCAGCGTTGCTCACTGTTCTCCTGGCGGGGAATTGAGACAGTCAGGAGTCTGCGCACAAGGCAGGGGATTGTTTGGTAGCCCCGATGCGCACTCATGAAAAATAAATTTAAAGAATTAAGGAAAGACAAGAAAAGAAAAAGGAACACAGCTGTGGGGGAATCCTCAGGCCCCACGCAGCCACGGACGACAACTTCCACCAGCAGAGCAGACAGGTTCTCTCCCCGTAAGCTCTCCGCGGGGGCTGGGTGTGTCCATCGGTCAGTGCCTTGGGGATGCCTTTGTAAACCCGTCCAAAATCTGTCGATTAAACTTGAATCACTTTCCATGGAGCATCTGCTTACCCGTGCAGGGTGTTCGTCACTTCTCTCCTGGCTGGGAAGAAACCGTAACCAGCATGCACGAAGTGAAGGGGGAGGAGAGGATTCCTGGGCTCAGGGTGCAGAGGGTGCAGTCCATGGCCGGCTGCTCCAAGGCGGGAGCATCATGGTGGACGGTGTGGGGAGGAGAGACGCTCCCATCATGGTGGCCGGGAAGCAGGGAGAGAAGGGAGGAGCCGGGGACCAGAACACAGCTTAAAGAGGGAGCTCAGTGTGGCTCAGGGGTGCAGAGGGTGCAGTCCATGGCCGGCTGCTCCAAGGGGAGCATCATGGTGGACGGTGTGGGGAGGAGAGACGCTCCCATCATGGTGGCCGGGAAGCAGGGAGAGAAGGGAGGAGCCGGGGACGAGAACACAGCTTAAAGAGGGAGCTCAGTGTGGCTCAGGGGTGCAGAGGGTGCAGTCCATGGCCGGCTGCTCCAGGGCGGGAACATCATGGTGGACGGTGTGGGGAGGAGAGACGCTCCCGTCATGGTGGCCGGGAAGCAGGGAGAGAAGGGAGGAGCCGGGGACCAGAGCACAGCTTAAAGAGGGAGCTCAGTGTGGCTCAGGGGTGCAGAGGGTGCAGTCCATGGCCGGGTGCTCCAGGGCAGGAGCAACATGGTGGACGGTGTGGGGAGGAGAGACGCTCCCGTCATGGTGGCCGGGAAGCAGGGAGAGAAGGGAGGAGCCGGGGACCAGAGCACAGCTTAAAGAGGGAGCTCAGTGTGGCTCAGGGGTGCAGAGGGTGCAGTCCATGGCCGGCTGCTCCAGGGCAGGAGCAACATGGTGGACGGTGTGGGGAGGAGAGACGCTCCCATCATGGTGGCCGGGAAGCAGAGAGAGAAGGGAGGAGCCGGGGACCAGAACACAGCTTAAAGAGGGAGCTCAGTGTGGCTCAGGGGTGCAGGGGGTGCAGTCCATGGCCGGCTGTCCTCTAGGTTGCTCTTTATCGTCTCCTGTTGGAGAAGCCACGTGGAGGTTAAGCGGGTGCATCTGACTGACGTCACTTGACCCCGCGATCTTAAGCGTGCATCTGTTTTCCTGCAGATGCTTCAGGCTTATCCTTCTTTGAGGCAGAGTAGTACTCCATTTTGTGTGCTGATGGATACAGTGTGCTTCCAAGATTTTGGTTATGGATCATCCTGCTGTAAATGCAGATGTGCGTGGATCCCTCAATAGGACACTGACGTTATGGACAGTCCCTTTCCTGTATTAACGCTAGGGTTGCTTTTTGACACAGGACTCAGTACAGCCCTCAGTATACACTAGGTGCTCAATTAACAGGAGAGAGTGAGGCTCTGTCGTTTCTCTGAAGAAATATGCATGATCGGAGTACTCAATGCACTTGCAAATCGACTGACAAAGTGTTATGATGCTTAGTGGCTCATCAATGAGCTAATTAACCTATTATTTACATATTTTGTTTCTTTGGGGTCCGAGTCTCACTGTGTATTTCAGGCTGGTGCTGAACTCACTGCGTAGCCCCAGGCTGGCCTTGATCTGCCGGAGATCCTCCTGCCTCAGCCTCCCGCGTGCTGGGACGACAGGCACGCGCCCCCACGCCCGGCTTCCCTGGAGGACTTTGAGACATCACACAACATAAGCACCCCGTGAATGTTGTTATGCTGAATGTTTAGGACATAAAGTCTTAAAAAAGGAAACAAAGCAAACACAACAATGCCAAGCCTGTAGGTGTTCAGAGTGAACGTGATTTCTATTTCTGAATATTTTTTTAAAATATTTTTGAGGTGCAATTGTTTGAATCCACAGAGGAAGAGGGCGGGCTTGTGCAGCATGATCAAGGCACACGGGGAGGGTGCAAATCTTAAAGATTTATTACAGTAAGAGGCACGTTTTTATTTATTATTTATTTATTGTTATTTTTTAGTCCCAGGAATCTAATTCACGACCTTGCAGTTGCCAGGCCTTAAATTAAATCCCAGCCCAGTAAAACACACACGGTCATAAATTCTCCTCCAAATCTGCCATTCAGTCTGCACGCGGCTCCTCCTGGCGTCTGGGACGGTCTCCCAGCAGCTCGGGGTCCTCCGTCCTCAGGGGCTTCGCCAGCTGGGATCAGAAACCCGGTGACGGCCGCTGCCGAGCGCCATCCTGCAGAAAGGCAGCTGTAAACACCAGATGCTGGGTCCCGTCCACCTCGGTCCCCGGAGCCGGCCCTGTGCAACTCCCGGCTGCTCCCCAAGGTCACAGTGACCGGGAAAGGTCACGGTTTGGGGTCCATTCGGGACACGGAGGCGGCCAGGACGGCGCAGCTAAAGCCCCTGAGGGTTTTACCCCAAAATGTGTGTTTGTGCTCAGTTTTGCTGCAGAACCAAACTTTGTGCAAATATTAACTGTGCTGTTATTAAATGACAGCTGCCCGGAGGCTGCGTCTCTTTCCGGGGTGAAGCTGCCCAGCTGAGCAATGGCTCGGGGACCGGTCAGCAGGACCGGGCAGTTTGCAGGTCCGTGTCTTGCAAGGCCTTTGAGCTCGAGGCTGCAGACCTTGGCCCTGCACGGCACAGAGAAAAATATCCCCAGGCGGTTTTCTCCACAGCTGTAGGTGGATCAGATGGAGGACCCCGCCCGGCCGGGGACCCTCAGGTAAGTGGAGTCTCCGGGAACCTCCGCAGAGCTTGGGGTCACTGCGGAGAGGGAGTCCGTCTCCGGGCTGGAGATCCCTGAGGTCAGACAGCGGGATGCGGTGCACACAGGTGACTCGGAAGGCCTAGACTGCACCTGGGAAGGAGTTACCGTCCTTGTCCTGCTCTGAACGTCCCGCCGAAGAGAAAGAAATCTACCTTAGAATCGGCGAGGCTCACCCAGGGTGGCTATTTCCACGTCGGGCTTGGTGACCGGCTTTTGAGAGTTTCCTCGAGTGACTATTAAAAATTCCCACGGAATCCGAGGCTCAGGATGACGAAAACAGCGGCCCTGAGTATCGTGGGGTTCCCCACCGCAGGAGACTCCCACTGCATCGTGGTGACATCGGCTGTGAGAGAGGCGGGCTGGGGAGCGGCAGGGTGAGAAGTGACCGCTGGCCCTCGGTGCTGACCGGTCTCTGAGTCAGAGGACGGGGACCCGGGGACGCTCTCAGTAGCTGCACCATGTGGCAGGAAGTCTCTGCTGCTCGGCCGTGCTTTATTTTCGCGAGTGCGGTTTGCAGGGCACGGTGGGCGCGGTCACTCTGGGCAGTGGACGCACGCTTTGCTGCGTCCATGTCCGGGTTCGCTTTCCGTTGCTACAGATGAATCTCCAGGTTCGCTGTGATCTGTCTTTTGCTCTGCTCTGCATTCCTATCCGGGTGTGCAAGGCTGATTTCTT